GGGGATCAACTTACTTCGAGAAGTTGCTATCAAACGACAGTCAGCAATAACAGACAGCTGGTGAAAAGGCAGGCCGAGTCAAGAGGGGAAGAGGTTAATCGACCAGGGGGATCGAGGTCGAAGGAGGAGAAGCAAAAGGTGGATAAGGGCAAGGAGAAAATGGACATCCAGCCTGGAGGAGAGGTTGAAGAAATTTAGATGATCGAGGGATGCGAGGATAGGAAGTTCAGAATTGGGAAGGATCTGGAGGAGCCCATTCGGTCGAGACTGATTGACTTGGTAAGGGAGTTCGCTGATATTTTTGCCTATACAGCTGAGGAGTTAACAGGAATAAGCGCGGAGGTGATTGAACATCGACTGAATATCGACCTCAGCGTGAGGCCGGTGAAGCAGAAGAGGAGGCACCATGGGGCGGAGATGGACAAGATCATCAAGCAGGAGGTTTAGAAACTGTTGGGAGCAGGGCATATTAAGGAAATTCAATTCCCTGAGTGGTTATCAAACACAGTGATGGTGTCGAAGTCAGAAGGAAAATGGAGAATGTGCATTGATTTTCGTGACTTGAATAAGGCGTGCCCGAAGGATCTATATCCACTGCCCAGAATCGACCAGCTGGTCGACTCAACGGCAGGATGTGAGTTGCTGAGCCTGATGGATGCATCCCAAGGATACCATCAAATTCCCTTGGCTAGAGAAGAAAGGAAGCGGGTGAGTTTTGTGACTAGTCGAGGGACCTACTGTTACGTGGTCATGCCGTTTGGTTTAAAGAATGCGGGTGCCACATATCAAAGGTTGGTCGATAAGATTTTTAAGGAGCAACTGGGAAGGAATATGGAGGTATACGTGGATGATATGTTGGTGAAGAGTAAGGAGGAACTCGACCATGTGCGAGATTTGAGAGAAACATTCTTGACGTTGCGGAGATATGGGATGAAGTTGAACCCGGCCAAGTGCTCTTTCGGGGTAAGATCGGGCAAATTTCTGGGCTACCTGGTCACAAGGAGGGGGATCGAGGTCAACCCAGAGAAAGTGAGGGCGGTAATCGAGATGCAGCCCCCCACGAAGGTGAAGGAAGTGCATATCTTAACTGGCCGAATAGCAGGCCTGAGTCGTTTTATTTCCAAGGTGGCCGAGAAGAGTGGGCCCTTATTTAAGACACTCCGGAAGAGCTCGAAATTTCAATGGACGGAAGAAGCGCAGAGAGCGTTTGAGGAGTTGAAGAGGATGTTGGTCGATTTGCCGTTATTAGCAAAACCGGTGCAAGGGGAGGACTTGGTGTTGTATGTTTCCATCGGAGAGGCGGCAGTAAGCTTTGTGTTGTTGCGGGAGGAAGGAGCAGCCCAGTTTCCTATTTACTACGTAAGTAAAGTGATGCAAGGGGCGGAAAGGAGATACTCAGAGATCGAAAAGGGGGCTTTGGCGGTGGTGGTTACTGTAAGGAAGCTGATACCATATTTCCTGGAGCATAGGGTGAAGGTCCGAACGAACATGCCATTGGGAGAAACGCTGGGTCGACCCTCCGTGTCGGGGCGATTAGTTAAATGGGCGTTCGAGTTAAGTGAATACACAATTATCTACGAGCCAAGGAGAGCAATTAAGGCCCAAGCGTTGGCGGATTTTATTCAGGAGGGGACGAAGGAAGGCGAGGAACTCGAGGGGGTATGGCAAGTATTTGCAGATGGATCGGTGTCGAGGGCGGGAGGCGG